TTTTCATTCCTTTACTGAGAAAATTGATGATGATTCACTGTTTTCATGGTATGTTTTAGCATTATTCTTGCATTTGTTTTACAGCTAAAGAACAAAATATGATTTAAACATAAACTAGTAAAGAAATTAATGATTGATAGTTTTCTTTTTATATTTTACTAACAGTGTCAAATACTTTTTGCTTGCATCAATTTGAAAGCCAGTATTTTACATTTTATCTGTTTTCTCTAATACTTGGATTTGAAAAATTAAAAATAACACTGAGGCTCAACAAAAACAATGATACACAGCAAGGCAGATAAAACAAGTGTATTATTTCTTCACTATGAGCCACCTGCTCATGTGTTGCATTTTGTCAATCTAAAAAAAATACTAAGAGTTATTTAGAAAATTCAGAAATGCATTGTTGAATTTAACAATCATATAGTGTGAAACTTTGTTGATTTACTCTTTATGCTGAAGGATTATGTACACGTTTCCTCTTTTTTTTCTGCTTTCTTTTTTTTTATCAAGTATATTTTTACTATTGACCAGCACTCAGAGACAAAATTGTTTTACTTTTTCTTACATATATCAAGTATCTTGTATTGATTATTTGTTGTGTATCTGCTAAAAGATTAAAGTACATTGGAAAATGTTTCCTCTGATATAGTCAATGAAGTAGTTGTTACACACATGTAACCTGAAATATATTATTCCTGCCATAGTTACACATTTTCAGTCACTTATTGAAAATTAACCCCCTCTGAAAAAAAAAAAATCTGTTCAGCTTTAGGAGACTGTCTGACTGTCTGTAAGTTGTGTACTCCACAACTCTAGCCTATAAAGAAGAGCGACAAGAAAAAAGCCATTGTTGACGGAGATACATAAAAAGTGCCTTTTGCAGTTTGCCAGGAGACATGAAGGGGACACAGCAACTGTGTGGAAGAAGGTGCTCTGGTCAGATAAGACTAAAGTTGGGCCTAAATACAAAGCGCTATGTGTGGAGCAAAATGGTAAATGGCCTGCATTTGTATAGCGCTTTACTCAGTCCCTAAGGACCCCAAAGCGCTTTACACTACATTCAGTCAT